CCAGTGCATTTCTTCCTCTTTCTATATATTTTGAATTTGGACACAGGTACGTCATACAAGATCGACAACGTAATCATCAATAGAAACCAGTACGCGTCTCTGTTTTTTGAAACAGTAAAACATAATGATTATTATTGACAAGGAAAGCTGCCTATATTTAATTTTATAGTAATTTAGGCGAGCATTAGCTGGTGTGGTGCTAGAGGGCGTTCAGAAAGCAAGTCAATCTTAAGAAAAATAGGTAACAACGCGTATTCGCTTCGTAGCGTTTCCTTAGTGGCACCAAAGGACAAAGCGAAAACAATCCAGGAAAGACGCTCGTCGAAGACATTATAACTTGCTCAATATCTCGAGTGGTCTGTGTTCTGAGTCACTTCTGTTTCCCTGTCAGCATTTGGCATCGACACTGATTTCATTATCATATGTAAGTTATGGTGCATAAGACTACCACATAATTTTTGCCTAATCTCAGTCCTTTTCACTGTCTCTTCTCCTAATCGCTTCCATGCTTAAAGGGTTTTTGGTGCCCGTGTATTGAAACAAGCTACTCTATTTAATTGTAGAGAAACAATCTACTTAGAGGAATGATTTGACGTGTGCGTAATTCTATAAACTAGGTATATACCAACCGATTTTGATATTTACCTATAATAACCATAATAGCATATGATATGCTTGCGTATGACAAGAAATTTGGCCAGTAGGCGATTGAACGATAATAACGTATTTTTGGTAACTAATCATTATTATTGTTGTTATTATTACAAAAGCTATTATTACAAAAAAAAAAAAAAAAAAAAGCCTCACCCGGCCTGCCAAGGTAGTAGTCCCAAGCCAGCTACACACGATATTTTGTGTCTGTCAGACGAACTTTTCTCGTTTTGCTTAAAATTGAGAAGCTAACCATGAAAACGTAATTAGGGGTAACTGGTTCAATACGATAGTTGGCAATTTGTTTAAATAAGGTTCGTTCTTCGTTCCCTAAGGGCTTTTGCCAATACTGCATTGATTGAATTATCCATTTAATCTAGCCTCGCGTATACCAGATAGTAAAACTCCCGGAGCAATATCCATCATAACCTATTTCATGCAGGTTGGGATTTGCATAATCTGTAACAAAATAGAAGAGTGCTCAATTCTATCCGTATTGCAGATTTATAGATTTTTCACATTAAGCCGTCCATAAGTAGATCAGACCCCATCTTTAGAGTGCGTACAATTCTGACCAGGTTCTTTATATAATCCTATGTCTATAAATTGATCCAGAATACAAACGAGTCTGATATGGAGATGACATGCACGCGTTTATTAAATTTAGCTAAAAATGAAACACGGCACATGATGCTCTACTTGTATATAGAAAAAATTAAATCGGTACTTTACAAATTATGTGTAGTCTTATGTAAGTCGTAGCATCAATTATAATGATTACACGTTTAATTTGAGATAGGCCAAAAGAGAGATCTCAGTTTTGCCACATACGAACAGTACTTCGACACACGATCTATGCCTTTAAATAAGGGTAACTTCGTTCGACCGCGTTTTAGTTGTTTCGAGCATAGGACAAAGCTGCATCTGTTTCGCTTCGCTTGGATGGCATCCTGCAAAAAATGGCAGCAGTCTAATGCAAAAGCAGGCAAACGATACGCTCGTGCATTCATATTAACGACCAAACACACTTGAAGCAAGGACTTTCGGTTAGTTCGAAATACGAGAAACGTTACTACCACTCTGAAGGCCACCATGCCAGAAATACTAGGCCTCATGATATCTTGTTAATTTTATAGGTACCTTACAAGTGTTCAGCGACGAGACTAATGTTTACGAGACTTAAAACGAATATTTTCTATGCTTCGTCAGTAAACTGTTATGTGTATGATTGATGTTATTGGAAAAAAAAGTTAAATAAAGAGGGATATTTTAAAGAAGAACAGAGTATTCTTCTTTTTTACTAAGAATGTTGACCTTTTAGCGCAAAAGGTGTTTAGCGATGACTTGAACAATCTTTAAGTGTACCGCTAATTAGATTTAAAAAATCAGAAAAGCCGAAGGGCACAGAACCGGGTACCTAAACGTAAGCTAGTTCTGTCAAAACTTTCAGCCTAGCCAAAGAAGTAATGGGGAAAAGTTGAGCTGCTTTAGAGGAATTCGTCCATCTTTAAATAAGACCTGTCCTTTTATAGAAATGCAATTCTGCAACTGCCTTAACTGCAATGCAACTGTCTTAACTATACTATATTTTTTTTAAGTCACAATTACTTGGCCAACGTGTCATTATATTTTGATTGACCAGAAAATACCTACACTACGGTGAGGACAAAAGACCCATTCTTAGTTCGAACATCGACCTAATTCGCTTCCACGTTCGAGTCATATTGGGGACATACAATATGATGTTTTGGCTCTACATACCGGGTGAACTAGATGTATTATTAATATAACAGCTAGTCATTGAATACTACATTGATTCAGTGCACAGACGTTGCCGGTAGACACAAATCCCGGTGGATTCCCCGAACGAATCCATTCGCGTCGGTGCGCACGGAAATGTCATGTAGTTGGGACACTTTTTTCCGTCTTTTCTTATAACTGGGTTCCGGGAAGAAGCTTATCGGATACCGATTTGTCTGGTCGAGAAGGATGTGAACTTCTAGGAAATGCGACGCGCAACTACCAAACAAACGCAGCCGACGGTTGGCGATTACATAAGGAATATCAAAACACTCGGTGTCCACCAAGTTATACGATAACACCCTGGAGAAAAATACATCTTTCTTTACAGGCTATCAGAGGCAACATGCAATGAAAACAGCGGACGAATTAGTGGAAAGGAACGCATCGCCTTATTTTGACTCTATTCTTGCAGTTTAATTGAAGCGCCAATTTGAAGGAGCGATAAGTCGGCGATTCCCTTGTATGGAACTTGCTACCCATTTGTGTGAGTCAGTCATGTAAAGTCTTTTTCCACAACCGCGGTACATTTGGCCTTTGGGCCTACAAGGAGCGCGGTCTATTTCATTATATCACCAAACGGTAAAGCTTTTCCTTTTTATTTAAAGCTAGAGCAATATTCAATTTTATCCCACCCGAAGGCCACTGTAACTTAACTTCGGCAAAGTCCCGTCGTCCGCCGATGCATTGTTCTCACGGTCGCTGCCAAGAGATATTAGTTGTTTGCATGTTCAGACAAAAAGAAAAACACGATTCAAGATTAATTCTCATCTCATAAGAAGGACTGCAACTCCTTTACCAGTGTGAATGGTAACAATGTTAACCCACCATAGTTTCAATAAAAACAACAACCCATTAATTCTATGAAGTATTAATTATTTCGGTTTGTAAGTCTTACAGCAGGACTCGAACAGGTTTCTGACTTTGCGCTCGAAAGATTCGTATAAGAGTGATTGTTTCGATGTCAGCCTAACAAACTGCGATGATTTGAGGTTGACTTTTACCAAGTGACTTTTTCCCCGAAATGTATAAAATTTATACAGCGTTTGCCTCATAGTTTTTGCCACATTTGATCAAGATGGACGTTTGTATGTTGCAGCCACCTCCATAATTTAATATTTGAAACGTTTGACTGATTTAGGCGTTCGTTGATAATAAACGTGTCCATATCCTACAAATACGTATTAAATCAGTGGGTTTAGTATTCACTTTAGTTAAAATAATTAACGAAAAAATTACGGCTTAGGTTAATTAATTCAAGCTGTACAAACGCCAGACATGCTACAGTGTTGGCATCTGGGCGGCTTATTTGAAGTAATCGAGAGCGGGCAATCCATCATTCATTAAGATACTAATAGCGCTTCGTCTGATCATATGCCTAGAATGATCAGTAAGCCTCTCCTGCGTTGCCCACCTATTACCGTGACTGTTTCACATAAAAAAAAAAACCTGTTTTATACCGTACTAATTTTACTCTGGCTAACTGCTAAATCGTATTCTCAAAGTCTGCTTATTTTACTATTTGTACTACTAAGTACGGCTTTTCAGTTTACTTAGTTACTGGTAGTAGGTGTACATTTTTTATGCGTACTCATTTTTTTTTACAGATTACGAATGTGTGACATACATTTCACAATATATATTATTAATCAAGAAAGAAAAAAAAACGATGAAATTTTTTAGGAAGCAAGAGTACAAACGCACAACTACTCGGGTGGGAACTATACTAGGAGTGAAGCTTTATGAATCGTTCAGAACATCAGATATATATAGGAATGTATTTTCCATACGAACGTGACGCCGTATGATTCTGGCTATCTATCCGCTGTTTTAGCAAACTTCAATTGCCCGTCACGAAAAACGTGGATACTGTTAGTAGATTGTAATTCACTACGTATCAAATCGTAGGTTAAGTATTTTTCAAAAAATCGATGCATACACTTTCAGGATACGAACGGTGAGTTAGCACAAAACAGTTAGGGGGTGCTTATCCTATTATATAGGTTTTCAGAGTTTATTTTTTGAAGTTGTACTCTAGACGCTATTTACTTGATCGTATATTAGCTAAAATAAACGAGCAAATCATTCGAGACCATTTTCATTATATCGACAATGGTGTTAATTGCGGCTAGTTATGACAGAACGTGGCATTGTGTAAATAGTCATATTAAATTTACTTAATCTGATTACGGTGCAACAAGTATTCTCAGCAATTCAGGTTGCTACATGTTCAACAATACTAATCTTATAGTTGCATAGTTGATGAGGCCATCGGCTTCAGGGAAGACACAATTATCAGTCGGATCATCTAGCATCGTAAAACGTGCGGCTGAAGGAAATAAACATGCTCGAAATTTTTAGCAGCTAAAATAAGCCATCAGAGATAGATGTATAAATATCTACATATATATGTATAAATATCTATGTATGGGGGGGGGGGTATATATATGCATATATATACATATGCATATATATGCCCCCTATATATATGCATATGTATATATCTAAATAAGGGGGAATCGCCTAGGTTTAGCTTGAAATAAAATTGGGGTAAGCTTAGGAATAGGAGGTTTAATCACTCGATAACAGGCCGCTGTGTCGACAGAAGCGATGTTAGACAACGTTTTAACTGCAAGTACATCTTTCATCCTGCTACATACATCTATTGCTATCTGCTACATTAGACTACTGTTAGAGAAGTTATAGGTAGCATATATTTTGAGGTAAACGAATTATCAACCAAACAGCTGAAGCAAGCTTCGAGCTCTCCACCGAAGTGCTCGACTGAGGTAAGGAGAGTACTAGAGCTAATTAACAGAGGCCATAGAAATTGAATTTATCTATAGCTACTACTGGAAAAGAAATCAACGCTGAAGCTAAGTCGACTGTTTCAGTAACTAACGCCTATTAAGGACGCACGATGATTTGCTATCATACTTTATACAAGTGCAAAAAGCATGGCTTTCCAAGAGAGATTTCTGATATTGATCAAACTTAGCTACATTGGTCGCCCTTTTTATATGTCATACTTTTCTTGCCTAACTAGAAAAATCGATTGAATGAGTCTAGAAGCTTCGAGAGATATCGGGCACATAATCGCCGGAACGCCTTTTATATCTAGTTCATTTGGAAAAAAGAAAATCAACATCAAAGACAGTTATGTAGATTCCTGTAGAGCGGTTAGTTGGGTCTACGGTGCTGCTGAAGTGTGTGCGTGTCTTCTATAATAATATGCTCGTAATAGTAGCAAATAAATCGCCGTCAATAAAGAAGTTGCCGATGGAAAAAATCACAGCAGTTGAGAATAGTTTGTACTGTTCCGAAGTTTGAACATCTGGGTTAGATCGCGTTTTAAACGGGCGCTTTATGACCGCAAAGAATTCTTACCTTAAACAGATCTCTTCGAATAATGTCCAGTATCGCCGAGTCCCTAATAGAGCTAAGGAAAAAGAGAGCAACTGTTGAATCACTGCCCGTAGAAATCTTCGAGAGGTCCAGCTCGAAGCGTTCGCGGTGGAGCTCCGGCAGTACTAATGCTACTAGGCCGATACTCGTACCTGGCGTATGTAGGACATGCGCGCAAGAGTTTCGTTCGACTTAGACAGCGTTGGTACGAAACATCCCTGTGCCCGTAAAATGTTGTGTAAAACAAAGGTCACTTTTATGCGAATATGTATTGAAAAACATAACTAAGCGATTACAGCCTGTAAGTGCCTACGCTAGGCCGTTCGAGCGTGTATCTGTTATTAGGAACACGTCGATATAATCCTACTACCAGACTACATATCTCATTCCAGCAGTTCCAGAATATTTAATGCTTTTAATCGGCCACTCAAACGCTGAAACCCTGTCGTGACCCTATTGCTCAAATAGTATCACATACGTTTATTAAGAAATCTAATAACTTAGACCTAAGTACCTCAGTCATGCATATGTATATTAATAAACAAAGTTTAATGGAAATGTAATGTTTGACAGGCGCACCATTCATACGATCGGCTTGCATAGCACAAACAGCGGCTGTTTTTGTTGTTGTGTCAAATTAGAGATCGCCTCTCAATACGGTACGCAGTACAGAATTGACACGGATATTTTTCGTGAACTTCCCATCTGCCAGTTAAGTTCGGAAGCAAAGCTTCCATCGACCATTTCAATGGGCACAGTTCGATCCAGGTCAAGGTTCAAAAGCGTTACTCGAAGCACTATATAGTCGGTGTTCATTAAATAGATTTGGATGAGTGAACTTTTAAGCCCAATTGTGCAGTGTTACATTTTTAAACGTCTTTTGCTTTTATTTATCTATTAATTAGGACATTAGCAAACATCTACAGAACTTTGGCATACATAAAATCTGCACAGCGTACTTCAGCGTCCGTAGGCCTGATAACTGGCTGCAAGCGAGTTTAGCATTCACACTTCGTGTTATTATCTCGCACTACATACGGACGACGCGTTCTATCCTACCATCTGATACGACTGTTACAAGCGCTATGCGAAGCAATGAGCTTAACTTGTTTGTTAACTTAACGTTTTCTGATGATTTTGCATGTTTCGGTACGTAACGTAACGAAATGAAAAGAAAAAAAAAAAAAGAAAACAGATGTTACCGATGAAAAGAAACGACTGATTAGCAGACCAATCAAATACGAATTGTCGAAGTGCTCTATATTTCTCGGATGCAGCCGCCAGCGTTGCTAGACTGCTGAGAGGACACTTCCGCGTTAAGTTGATATTAAAAATCGAAGAAAGTGTGCCACCAAGGGAAAAGGGGGAAGAACTGTGTGATTATTTACAAATTCGAACAGATTAAACTACCATAGACTCGCTGTGTCGACAATGACGCTTCGCCGACAATTTAAAGAGGCTCAGTTTAGGGCAGTATATGCTCCAAAAAACCTCGATTAAACTCTCAGATGGCACGAGCTTGTTTTCATAAGGCAAATCACGTTAAGACCGTTGAGAAGTGGGAAAAGTTCACTCTTCAGCTGAACTTCATTTGAAAATTCTCGGAAAAAGTGTGCCTTCAAACATATTGGCGGACGATTTTCCGAGAAGTGCGTCGTACTGAAAACAAAACACTTATCGAAAGTTGTGATTTGATTTCTGATTTTTGATAACGGCACTGGGATGATGATGGATTTCACACAGGGAATACTAGAGTGGCTGGGCTATGCTGAGGTTATCGAAGGCGAGATGCTGCCTCAGGTGCGAGAATGGTCGTTTGAGGGTGACTACGTCTGCATTCACGATGGGGTGTCTTGCCACAGAACTCAACGTATCCCTAGTTTACTCGTTGCTAATGACGTTTAAATGCTGCCACGGCCTGTTAGTTCGGCAAAATTTAATCCCATAGAGGACTTTTGGAAAATCGTAAAAGCACGCGGCTTTGGAAAAGACAAGAAATAACAGATGTTCCAGATCTCCGTCAAAAAATGGCGTCAATTTCCAGCTAAGATTGAAAAACTCTATCAGAAATATACGTCTAAAGGTGGCGTCTGTTGTTAATGCAAGAGGCGAGGGCCACAAGATACCGATACGCACAACGATATCGTTTGTCATTCGTGTAAAAAGGTGTGCCGATCTTTTTAAACATACAGGGCACCATTCTAAAACAGAATAGTGCCGCGTTCATATACCAAAATCGTTTGAAAATATCCGGTTTTGTGCTCCGTAACCAGTCTTGAGAATTCGCTTCATTTAAGCTTATTAGATTAAGTACTAAGTGTGTGCTGATCATTTTTCAAGTGAAATTATGTATACGGTATTGATTCGATGATAGCTGATAGCTACATAAGTGTAACTAGTGCTAAAAAACATCTCTCACGACTTAAACGTTCGATGATCGACAAAGCTTCAGCCATTGCTAGAGGACAATCTGTTGAAACCCACCAGAAAATCACTAAGCGGTAATGTGATTCAACGATTCTCTGAACGCTAAAGAAACACCACGCAGTGTAACAAAGTGGCTTATCCGTAAGTTAGACAGAAATGGTATTGCGCCGCAAAGGTTTTTCTGTTAGGTCGATTTGAAAATGATCTTTTGTATGTACGTTCTACCTTACTACGAAGTTTTACCCCGAACATAATTTACGGTAGAAAGTTCTAGTGTATTTGATAAAACATGCAACAGCTCTAAATTTTTGTAAAATAGTTACACAATGAGACAAATGCCAACTAGCTAAATAGAACAGTCTGATCGAGGTAAGAGCCTTTAAAAAACGATTCAAAGTGATCTTTTTCGCACGACGACAACGACGACGACGACGACACTGTTCTTCGTATGATCTGAAGACAGCGTCAAACCGTCTTCTAGTTAACGTCGAAATTTCCGCAACATGATCCATTAGACTCGCTTCGTATGGACAAATACCTATTTAGATCGATGTAATATCTGCTCGACGAAAAAAAAAAGTTAAAAATGGATGTTACAATGCATTTTTACGGAAATAGCCAATTTAATTCAAACACAAACAAACTCACGAGTCGTACCCGAGCAATCGCAGGTCATAACGGAAACTATCCTCATGCTCATTCATTCATATTAAGCTAATTTCATGTTAAGCTCAAATAAATCGTCCTTCTTTAAGGGAACATTGTATTGCTCGAATACAAAACATTGCATAGTTTTGCTTACTCTAGGCAGACGCACCTTCTCGTTTTCAGGGTACTCACCTTATTTTGCCATTGGTTTATTTGTCTACCCGTTTGTCACGTTGAAACTTTGAATAGTACATGTGTAGGCAAAGAAACCGGTATTGGCATGATAATTCCGCACAAGGACCAGATCCTGTCGAGATATCTCTTTGGAAAGCAAGTATGTACACATGTCACTGTTTAGATAGAAAAAAAAAAAAACAACATATTTTATCACATATCCCGTTGAGTAGATTGACGTTCATCAACCGAGCTTACAATATGTCTATCTTCTGTCGTTTGTTAGCGTTAAATACTACAATCCGAATGTTACGCCAACCTCTGTAAAATCCAATGTTCGGGTAAGCTATTCCACCTACGAAATGTTGGAAACCTATTTCAGAAAGTCATCTGTTTAGTGGACATCTGGAATTATTTCTTCGTTTACTATGGCCAACGGGTGGGGAAAGTACATAAACTACAGTGTAGGATCTAAGACTGTTGTCGTATAGGCTTTGCGTCGATAAATTAGGCACTGGTCCTATATAAATCTGAGGAAAATTTAGGATGCACTATGTTACACGCAATTCATTATTTTGATGGCTAGACCAATTATTTGAAGCTTCATGTCTTTTAGCTCCTTTCGTTTACTTAAGAGACGTACTTCGCTACAGATAAAAGAAGGAAAAAGGCGCATTTATCGTACCTTATATTGTATCTGAACACGGAGAATCGTTGTCCTGTTGCCGTTAAATATGTTTCGTCTATCGCACTCATATCGAAATGTACGTAAAGGGAACTCGTGTCTAGAATGACAAAAGCACTTAAAATAGATGCGTTCCTACAATTGCAGAGTATAAATTGTTTCCTCTAGATAAAATTATAACTGCAATTTGATGCTAAAAATATCAGTATGTTTTCATAAGTCAATCCGTCTCCTTCATAGGTATAAATAATGTCTCCTGTTTCAGAACAACTGTACAGACGGTTCTTTTCATAGAAACTAATACTTTTTTTCAGATGTAATGAAGAATTAAAGCTGCTATAAGACCCGCAAATGAAGTAGTTGTTTCCAGCCTTTTAGTGACGAATGGCTTTAGCTACTGGTAGCAATGATTACAGCAGTTCTAGGAAAGCGACATAAGACAACAACAGCAACAGGGAAGGTCCATTGTTTTGGCTTATGGATGTTTGGGGTAATGATTACGAGCCAGTACATATTTAGCATCAAGTAAATGGTGTGTAATATCAGGTGCACACATTGTACAATGGCCAGAATGCCTTGGAAGGTGATCTAGTTAATACTCAGCAACGGCCCGTTTTATGCATATTATCCACGCCTGTTTACAGAAAAATGCAATCTAATTTAATAGATTTCTTGGTATTTTGCTACGATGTTTGAGTTCACCATCTTCGGGACGTTGTTTTTGGGCCAGGCTTCAAATAGACTTCGTCTTAGGTTAGCAAGGCTAAATAGAAAGTAGCACTACGATGGACCACTGTTAATTACCTGCGACTACCTTCAATACGAGTGGCAGTAGAGATTTTCGTTGGGTTTACCTACCCATAGCCCCAGCATCTCTACGTCTGGCCGATTCTGGAATGGCAGTATCATAAAGGGTAAACAAGACTAACATTCTGCTAAATAACACTTTAGCTCCACTAAGTACCATTATATTCGATATAAATTTGGAATTTCGAAAAGAGGAGGATTTGACGTGTTGGCCTTTTCGAAAGATGAATGTCTACGCAAGAGGATATATATATAGACACTAACATGTTTACCTATGCATATATGCCACAATTTTAACATAAGTTTGTTTAGCTTGTTTTAATGTCGTTGATTAGGTTTATTGCAATAAGAAGGACCAGTTGTACGGGTGTGTGCTGCAAGCTGTAAATCGTAGAAACAATAGGGTAAAAACCTTATTTTTTTGACCGTGTTATGTGCATCATCTCCAATATTTACACGAACGTGTAGTTATATTACATCCCCGACATTTTCACGTGATTCACTAATGTAATTGATAGCACACTGATAGGACAGCGGTACTAAAGTATCCCGGAATAGCTTATAATGCATGACCCCCCCCCCCCCCTGCTATCATTGATTGTTCTGCATTTGAGCTCGCAAGCTGTAGACATACCTCGAGAGATTAAAAAACAATTGCTTTCCCATTCCGTCAACGCGTGTAGATGGCTCTACATCGAGAAGGATGTCTAAGGCGTACGGAAACTTGCATGATGTATGAATGTTGTCCTAACCTGAATGTTGTGAGCTATTGCAGTGTCCTTATTGATACTTGCACGGTATTTGTAAGTAAGTAAGTAAAGTAAAATTAAGCTTTTTCGTAAGCAAAAGTAATTTTAGATTGATAACAAGTAGCTGGTACCGCAGGTAAAATCAAATTGTACTGAAGGAACCACCAGCCAAAATGATAGTACACCGAATCTAGATAGGTGTAACCAGATTATAAGAAAGTGGATCGACCGTAACTTTCTATTATATTATTATATTCTAACGAGACACATTTGATATCGTCGTCAGTAGGTTGAAAAGTATTCGAGGCTTCAGTATTCAGTGCTGTGATGCCACAATAATTTATCGACAATCGAACAGTTAATATGTTATCAGAGGGGTGCACATTGACCCTCTGGGAATCCCTGTAGACGACGTTTCTTATATTTGCGCTGTTCCTTTAGCCAACTGGTCAGCAAACACGGTAGTTGACAGATACGGCAACACCATAGAACGCAGCCAAACATGGAGAGTGTTCGTGGTGAAAAATGGCTTGATCTGCCTTTGTGTTTCGAGCTTCAGGTCAGGTAGCGCTGTTAAACATTTCATCAAACGGCTGGATTCCAGCACAAAATGAAGTATGTCTAGGCTTGGGTCCGCACGTACATCACAACGTGTCTCTAAAATTAGAAGGAAATAGGTTACCCACACAAAATTATCCAGGCGAGGGGGGGGGATTGGCTTGTCCTACGTCCTTCAATGAAGCACACCTTATCCAGAAACTCGAACAGATTATTTTTAGTAGAAATATAGCATGTTGCGTTCGACGACTTGTTGTTCTTTCCGTGCAAAGTTTTGAAACATCATTCAGATCAATTTTCCATCGATGCAGCTTAGATCTGTATGCAGCTTAAGCTTAGAATTGCACGATGTCGTTAGCTTGTAAAGGACAATATAGATTCTTTCATAACGTCTGCCTACTCATCGTCTAAACTGTGTTTATGTATATGATCTATAAACACATGGCATAAAAATAACTGCATTAAAGGCGAAACACGAATGTTGGTAGCAGTAGGGCTCACCCCTGTTGAGTCGACACCAAAGCCATGAAAGTTCAAACAAATAATGTTTTAACGAAACCACGCATCTCATTCCAATATCTTCAACAATCGATCCTGAGTAAATCTCCATAGACTTTTTTTTGGCATGCATAAAAGCCGATTGAACCTGGCAGCTAATTTGAATTTGGGTACAACACGAAAGACCTACTATCCAACCCAGTACGTCCCCTATTGTTAAGTCATAGTGCTTGACGTATAAAACCACGTTGCACGTGCTGCGTGTACCACTTAACTGCACGTAAAACAACACCCACAGTCCAATTTCAAACTAACAAAGGTTGGGTCTATCGACGAGCTTCCATGTTTCGAAATCGCACGCCAAAACAAGACCGCCATTTAGTAAGCTATCCTTGAGGACCCCCAAAGCCAAACGGCCGATACGCTGTATATCATTGGCGGCATAGAGATGACTAGCACATACGATAAAAACTGTGGTGTTTCCTCGTTGCATTAGGGATCAGCGTCGTCGGGGTTGTGTGCTATACCAACTATAAAGGACGTCGTATATAAAGGGCGCGAATTATTACTAACACAGTCCTACTAACATCAAACGTAAACATAATATTTTTATTATTATTGATCGTTCGAACTAAATAGCTCGTCACTTTCATATTTTGATCAATGTATCATTGCAAGCTTTAAAATCAAGCGTTGAAATTTACCATTAAGTCTCGCTTTGGCTTTCGTTTGCGTAAGTGTTTCTCGTCAGAGGCACAGTAACTAAAATCATTGAGTGGTGTGCTATTACTGAATAACAATAGCCTCTAAGAAAAACGTCATTCAATATCTTAGTTCTCTAGGAATGTTTGGAATTATACGCATCATCTAGTTATTCTATTTTGGAAAGTTGAAAATTAAATGAGTATTTACGGTTATTTAGGATACAAATCTTGAACAGACAACTCCCATAGATACGTCATTGACGTTCTTGAAAAAGTCACGGAAGCTGCAAAAATGGGATCAGGTCACGTGTAATTAAGTTAACCGAGACAATACTTTAGTTGCCAGTTATTTATCGATACATATTACAACCGTACATTGCACGATCGATTTTACTAGATGGAGTCAGAAGGTAAACATAGCACAAAATATAAACAATTGATCTTTACAAGGTTTCTCAAAACTGAGACTGATTTTATTCATACTTAAGATATGCTCCCTTGAAATGCAAGTTCTTCAATTGAGCTGTTTTAAATTACCAAAGTTCCACTTTTTAGTTCTATCGTTATTCCACAAATCTAGATCGGTCATGCAATCAAAGGGAAGGCAAAAATCAGATAGCCAAAACACAGTTCCTCCAATGGGTGTCGTAGCTGCATTTTCGTTCGTGATATTTAGCTCATCTCGAAGAGATATTAAATCTGATTCCAGAAAACCATATCGTATTCAGACAAAAAAAAATCATTATACACATTTTGTATGTTTTGGAATTGGCTATGAACAGTATAAACCAAATAGCGGAATGTTTAACATGAAAATCTGTCTGAAAAATCTGAAGAACATTCCTAACTATGCCTATAGTCGTCTGCAGTACAAAGCTCAGAAGCATCGGCTTAAAGACCCAAACGCTACTATCAGGTTCGTTTTCTCTTCGCCGGAGTGAATCTCACTTCAGTTTACAGTTGCTTTTTCTAAATGCTTTCATTATCTTTACGTACAGCTCCCTTTAGACGTTATACTATTTTCTGCGTTAATATAGAACAAAACCAACAGAACAAAGGTTATACCTTGTTAAATGTACGCAATATCTGTACCCATGTACGCACAAACTACTATTTTTTTTTTAATACAGAAGCGACGAGAAAAAGAGCTTGTACAAAAAGCTAAAGTAAGGGCGAACGTTTATGTTGCCGGTTTGCGATGCCGCGCCACTCGTACTCGCTATCACTGGCATTCTAAGTAGTTGCAATCAAAGCTTGCTCATGTATACCGCTTATTATTATAGCCTTCTTTGTTTGTAGCCTGTTTTAAGGCACAAGTTGCCTAAACAAGAGTTGCTAGTTGTCCTGGGAATGGCTGTGTGCAGCGGCATGTACAAGCACTACTACTTCTTCAGTACTTCAATTTTGCATACGATAGCGACTTGAGTCTTAGATTCACAAATGAATAGGACGCGTCCGAACAAAGCCACTTTCCGCGAATATCCACGAACTTATTTGATGTTTGTTGTCAGTAAAGTCGCACCGGGTGGAAAGCAAGATCAGGGTCTCATTGACTGCGATTTCTGATGTTTCGATCCGTGTAGTAATTGTTACGCTCTTAATGCTCACGATGGGTTCTCCTTGTACGATTCTTCCGAAGACAATCCTGCGCCACGTTATGGCAGTGATACTGCATGCAGAATATGGCTCAGACTTCCGCACGATATTCCACAGATTCACTGCGAGCGACAAGAGAGCGTCTTAAATCGGGACTGTCAGGTCTGTTCTTATATTCGTTCGTCCCAAAGATCTTATGCTTCCATAACGCGAAACCTTCTTTATTTTCCTAAATTCATGGAATAAAATACTAGGCTGGCACAGTTTATTTAAATGCAAGACAAGAGTCATTTCATATAGAAATACATTACTGTTTTCACTTAGTCCGAGTTGATATATAGTGCACAAAAATAAGCATCATTCATCATCGAAATATATCTCCCGAGTCTGTATAGCTGTATAAGGATTAGTCGTCTTGTCGAAAAAACAGTTTTCAATAAAAAAAAAAACCTGTGCAACAGCTTTCATATAGACTTGCGATGCAAGAACGGTGAAGAGGAATGTTTCTATATGGGACATGGAGGGCGGAACAGCTAGGGGCAAGAGTGAACAGGTTGTCTGGAAGCTTTTTCAGTTCATGTAGACTATATATAGACTAGAAATGGTTCCTCTATACTCCTGTTGGATTGAGATGTTGTGCAGGCATGTTAGGGCTGCCGAAGCATTAGGGCACCGACTGGTCAAGGTGTAGAACACATAGCACACCGTCGTATGTGTATTAAGTACCAGTAATAGTGGCGGCCAAGGTGCACATAGTGTGCCAATCTTAACGCCAGAGACGCGCAAAAGGCTTACTCCTTCAATCCTGCCGTCAAAAGGCTGCGGGCAATTTCTGTAGCTCAACCATGACACACGAACACCCACGATAGGCTATGAAAAAATTAGTGTTAAAAAACGTTTAGAGACCAGTGATTCCATCTAGTTTTAATAGAGACGACTACGAACACACTCTCGTACTTTCATCTGCCGTCAGATCTCGCCACATACCTCTTGCTCCAGGACCATCCTGTCTGCTAGTGCAGAAACAAGTTCCAGTATAGTTTGTGGTAATAATTCGAATCAAGATAGCTCTCCGTTATAACTAGATTTTTATAACAGAAGACCCAATTTTATTAGCTTGCAGGCCATACAAGGTGAACTCGGCTGTAGCCAAACGCGCCACGTACTTATTCCGGAACATGGCTTATGGCATGCTGCCGAATAATATGAGCTCAGAAATTTTTTTAGAAAAAGAGTATTTTTAACATTAAATGTATCAAAAACCTTTTATACTAGAGTAATCCGTTTAGTTGGAACGTATTTCCTTGATTCTTATATACATGCAGTGTAGCTCATGTTTAAAACTGACCGTCTTGTAAGCAAACATTGTTACTCTCCCCGCTGGTAACGTATTGAAAATTGAGGTTTACTACATCACCAAAAATGCTACCCCCACGAGAATGTGCTTACTATTTATAAAAGTAGTCCGAGTTGAAACACTTCGGTACGCTAATGAAAACACTGAGACGAAGCTCGTTGGTCGTGGAACCTCTTTCCCCGTCGAAGCATATGTCCAATAACGTGCTTTTTTAGTCAAAAATCGATGACATGGGTGCTCTTAAAGTTAACTTACACAATATTTTGTTGACATCTACGAGCCTGCCACTCTAGATTCTGTATTTGCTTTATAATAAAGCAGTACGCCATAATTTAAGATTCAGGATCTTCTATGCTTTTTGGCTGCTTGTTATTTTGATCGCTAGCCATGTTCTTAGTTGCTCATGTCAGATCCGATAATTTAAGTTGAAGGCATTCTAACTATAGATAGATGGACAGTTGGTTAGTACCTGTTTTCTCTGCCTGAAGACAATGTACCGCGAAGATTCTTAACACATATGATCTTGCTTAACTGTTTATAAAAACCAGGGCCAATCGATATCCGATGATGATATATTTGAGGTATCCAACACTGCTTTGACAACATCACTCATAGACAAGACATGAATGATATTGTCAACAATATTAATTAATTTCGTTTTGACAAATAATTGCATTTACCGATAATACCCACGCACAAAAATATATCGACAAAGCTGAAGATCTATCTAACAACAACCTATTCAGAGTCGGTCAGCTCAAAAAGCGAATCATCTGCTTCGTAATTCAGGGTCCTCAATGCGAACTTTTAAATTTCCAATGTAAACGGTCACAAAGAAGGCTCGGTGACTGTGAAAGCTTTTGGCGTTTTTTTCAACTGTGCACTCGGTAGAGTGCTCGACACTTGAAAGTTATCTTAAGATGGTTATAGAGTTGCCAAACGTGCATTGGTTGCAAAGCATGGTTTCAATTAAAAAGTAGTGAATTGTACCATTACCATGATACGCAAAGACGCTATCATACTTACGCACATGTTAAGATCGTAATATTACAAACAAACGAATGAAACGAACCACAAGAAGCGAATATTTAGTAATAATAAACGTTTTTCAGTTATTTTACCAATTATCTTTCCGTTGACGTACTATGCATATAGACATGCATAGATATGCATGTATATAAGTATGTTAAAAATAGAATAATCCCTCGATTAGATCGATGTGGGTACTTGGCAATCAAACGGTTTTTTTTTTCATTTGTATTCATCTGTCGACTGACATGGCGAATGGATCAGTCAGTAACGACACCTGACGTTTAGAAATGTCATCCCGGGTACGTTAAGGAACTATTATTATTATTATCGGATTATGCTAGTGTTGACAAGGCTTCCTGCACTGCAACGAATCGAGAGATCGAGAAATCGTTCCTTCGAACATAAGTGTTAAAGCTAATTCACTTTTTCGAGCTTTTACTTAAAGGTACTAGTACCACGTAAGGGATCCCTGCAGGTCTCTGCAGTAATTGAATGACTGCTATGGCATATCAGCGCGTTTAGTTGCGACTCTCGATTTGGTGAAGTCTATATCGAAAAGAACGAGTAATAAAATGAGAACTCAGTAGTTAGAATTTGAGACGAATCATTGCAAACGTCGCTGTTCCTTTTTGTTTTAGTTTATTGGCAAGTTCGATAAGTTACTGTGATCATTAAACGTAAATCGGTCTTCTGGACCTTTATGCCTTGTACCATCTTTCCCACCACAACGCTTGTATCATTTCCCTTTCGAGTCTATAAATTTTTGGAAGTAAATTGGATCGTCGTTCTGATGCAGAAACAGGTGCACGGATTGGCCTTTTACCAAGTTGTTCTCGCAAATAAGCTGTCTGAAATCACCCATGATGATTGACGTTCGACACCCCGTAAAGCGAGCAGACCCTTCACCTTCCTCCTATGAAATGACGATCCAATTATTATTATATAGCGTAGAAAACGTGCTGTTGGAATAGAACGTGGGGTATATGGATAATAGTTGTTGTATGCAATGCATTGAAACCAACCTGCATCTTAGCTAACATCCTAATGTAACCCGGATGTAACAATTAAACTTCGCATGCAGAAATGTGCGTGTAAAATAACTAATTATAGTAAAAAGCAAGACAGATCATTACCGTAAAGGGTCGCGACGTCTTTGCTCTTGGTAGAAGATGAGATTCATGCGCGAAGTTGAAGCTCCTGGCTTTGAGTTCGTTTATCCCCTTTAGCAGAAAAATGTCAACGTGAGTTTAAAATATCTAGAGGAAGCTCCTGGCTTTGAGTTCATTTATCCCCTTTAGCAGAAAAATGTCAACGTGAGTTTAAAATATCTAGAGAAAAAAGGATGTAATTAGTGGCTGAGTGCTTTCAATTTAGGACTGCTTGGCGATATTGTACCTGCCCTCAATAAAGGTTGGTCGTCCCAATCGTATCAAAAGGCCATATACAGGTTGGCCACTAAAATTAACAGCATCACAACATCTGACTATGAAACGGAAAATATTGATCGAACTCGTTAGTTGCATGTGAAACAGCTGTCCGAAAATAATTACAAACAACTCAGTTAATAAAATAGATGCTTACTTGCGCGATGGAGGTTAGCGTCTGCAGATCCTCTAGCTCTCTCTGTTCAGAGCCTGGGCTTCCCTTGCTGCTTGTCTCTGCGGGCATGTTTCTCTGAAAAAAAAAAACATTTAGCCTTTCAGATTTAATGCCACTGAACCGGTCCTTCCAAAGGGCTCAAAACTTGTTACTGAACTGTTAGAAAAATACGACTACGAAATTTTGATCGAAGCGCAAAAACGATCGATTTAGCAGCCTTTTTGTTGTCGAACGTGTTGAGCCTACCTTTGTCGCCTACCTAAAGTCGCTGTTTTTGGGTTCACCAACAATATAATTAGTATTAAATACACTTTCTACTTTAGGCTTATTTTGTAAATATCTTGTACAAATCGCGAAATTCTAATTGACCATTTACGCTCACAAAAAAGGAGCAGCATCTAATCTACACCGATGGCTTTATTCGGGAGTACTATAGCGACTAGTATGTTTATAATGCTGACCCCAACTTCTGTTTAAGCGGACCCCATCAATTTATAATTAGTGACACAGATAAATACTGGATGTGTACAATTA